CCCCCCTATAGTGCTTATGTAATACTTGGACGGCCCCATATTTGTAGTATTATTCTATCTATATATATAAAAATAAGTCGGGTTTTCCTTCCTGATGAAATAAACGCACGAACCGATTTCGACAATTTTGCATTCGTTGGTAAGGTCTCGGGCTCAGCAAGATTTATAGCTAAGAAAATTAGTGGTGCATGGCATCGTGCCCTAATGCAAATTGCTAGAACTTCACGCACCGTAATTAAAAATTCGAGTAATGACATTATTGAGAATTATCAGAATTATGCTTGGTCAAGTCAGCGAGCAATTCTTGCCGCAAAGATAATTATGTACACGCACTGTATTTCAACATACAATCAAAATTACCGGCGATTGGTGACATACCAATCAATCCGACTGGTCTTCCGTTTGACTTCAAACGATTGCAATTCCCAGTTCGCCTTGCGTTCGCAATAAACATGTCGCAAAGCCAATCGCTTAGTATTTGCGGTATAAATTTCAAATAGATTATTTAGAAAATCATTGTTTTTCACATGGGCAGTTATACGTTGCCTGTTCACGAGTTGGAAAACCATCCGCTTTGTTTGTGTTAACGTCAGACCAAAAACAAAAAATGTGGTTCACCAAAGAGCACTTCAATGAAACCGATAATTTGCGGATTCACTTTCATTTACTTACAATTAGAGAAGTTCAACTAAAAAACACTTCATTTTTGTAATCGGAAAAAATTCATTACTGTGTGCAATAAAATTGAATTTTTCCTTTCAAATAAAAAAACAAACAAAAATTTCTTCATCTTTCTCACGAAACCATCTGGTGGCGAAACGGAGTTCGTCGGGTTTGCTAGTTGATATATAATATTTGTTAAATTAACTGATAGCTCGTATAATTTTTGCTGTTTTGGGCAAATTTCAAAGTCTTTCAAGACTTCAGGCAAATTTATTTCAGGTAGACTGTCTAGATTCTAGAATCTAGAACATTTCTATGCCATAAGACTAAACTAGAATATTTTTGCAAGATCTGAAACATTTGTGTAGATATTTTCAGACTATCCAGAATATTTTCAGATTTCAAATTGTATACAATATTTCTAGAACACCTAGAATATTTTCAAACCATCTAGAATATTTTCAAACAATTTGCAATAGTTACATTAAATAACATTTTAGGTCCATCCAGAAAATTTGTAAGCCACCTAGAATATTTTGAAACTAACACTCATCATTTTTAGAACATTTGCAACATTTTCAGACTATTTAAAATATTTTCAGACTATTTAAAATATTTTCAAGTTGTCTACAATTTTTCAAGGCTGTCTAGAATATTTTAGACGATTTTCAATATTTACATACTAAATATTTTTAGATCTTCTTAAACACATTTTTAGACCACATAAAGGATTTTAGGACTAACTAGAACATTTTTAGATTGTTTGCAACATTAATGTTCAATCTAAAAATATTCTAGATAAACAGACATTTACTGCCTGGTAAATTTTTTAGACTAACTAGAATATTTTTAGACTATCTAGAACATTTTTAGAGTATCCAGACAATTTACTAGATACAAAAATACTGAAAATATTTTCAGATTATTTAGGCTAGGCTACTATATTTTTGGCTGAAAATCGATATTTGAAAACTAATAAATAGTTAACTTTTCTATCAATTTATTTAGTTTTTTGAAGTAGAAATTTCACCAGAAAATCCGATTTGCTAATTTTGTGTTTTCTCGACGTTTACAGTCATTTTGAATCTAATGAGACCGAATTTGAAAAGAGTATGTATGTATGTGTATGTGAACTGATTTTTGACTTTTCGTCGACGTTTTCTCAAAAACATCTAGACTGATTTTCAAAATTTTGGAGTCACTCGATGTAACTCATTAAGAAATTAAAATTTCTTGAATATTTCATTACGGTACGGGAAGTTCCAGCAATTTGCCTTAGGCACGATGCCATACACCCCACTAGTTTTGATTTTGCATGAAACTTTACATGGGGATATAGAGTATATAATCCAAATGAAATATCACTATATTCACCATGTCATACAACAATGGGTTAAATCATGAAAATACATCATGAAAGTTTGTAGTTATGCGTTTTTGAGGCATGTAACTTAGTTTTTATTATATTTTAGTTATAGACTAAATGGAAGAGCTTGCATGTTACGAGCGATTTGCGAAGGCTCCGAAAATCCTTTCACGCACGAAAACGGAATCCTGGGCGAACTGATGCACATTATACTGACGTGAGTATCGAAATATCTCTATTTATCCATCGATTAATGAATTATTAATTAATTGTGAATACTTGTTAAAGTCCTTCGACGACAAACGAAGCCCTTAGCGAACATTCGGACAACGAATATCTGATGGCAGAAAAAATCGGCAGGGAAGCTCAGAAGGACCACGAAAACGGACACGGTCAGTAGAATTATAATTATAATATATATATATATATATATATATATATATGTATATATATATATATATCAGTGTTTCCCAAAGTGATAAAAAATATTATAAACAACAACAAGAATGAATTTCACTATAAAAATATTAATTTTTAATGCAAACGCTCCTAAAATAACATAGAGCAAGACTGGAGCAAATTTGCTCCAAATTAGGTTAAGTGTGCCATGATATTGATAATAGAGAAACAAACAAATGTATAGAAAATATCTCATAATAATCGATTCTAATAAAATCATCGCAGAATAGTAAAGTATTGCGTTTTTGTTAAATATACCAAGTTATTTATTATTATGCGTTCCAAAGACTTTTATTATTGTTCTAGTGACTAACTGAATTTTATACAGTTTTTTATGGTAGCTGAATGTTTTCTGCGACCCACACTTTGGGAAACACAGATATATTATATTCTACTATAAGATTAGTTGGGGAAGGGTTTCATTGTTTTTTTCCTTGGTTTTACAGAAAGGTGTTCTAGGGTTTTCCAGGGTTGCACAACTCCATTGTTACAAATTTTTACGAGCGTTGAATATTTGTGGAAAACTCTCGGATAGAACTAGTTGTTATAAATTATTTATTAGTTTTAAGTAACAATTTTTTTATTTACTATAATACATTATATACATATACTTATTATTATAAATAGGAGAATACTTTCATACCAATAAAATTTTAAACAAGAAAACCAAATTATTTTATCAAATCGAAAATGGACATTAGTTTCTGCATTAGTTTTTGTACTTATTAAGTTACTGCTTATAAATGATAAGATAATTAAAGTATCTTTAAAATACTTTATTTATATATAGTTTATTTATCAATTTTGAAACTAAATGTTTATTCTAGAGTTGATGTTAAAATCTCGTTTGTGCATTTGAGTTTTATATCTTCTGTAACTTTCAAAATATTTTTCTAATCAAATTGATATATTCAGCAAATTTATACAAAATTAAATGATTTATAATGTTGTCTAACATCATAATGCTTTGTACAAAATTAAATGATTTATAATATTGTCTAACATTATAATGCCCTACAGCAACTCGGTATACCTTAAAATCGTTTTTAAAATTGTTTAATTTTGAGTGAGTTGACTTTAAAATTTCTTTGTGCATTTTCTTTGGTTATATTTTTGTAACTTCAAAACTATTTGTCTAACATAATTCATATATTTAGCAAATTTGTACAAAATTTAATGTCTTATAATATTGTCTAATATCATAATGCCCTACAACAACTCGGTATATTTTAAAATCGTTTTTGAAATTATAGTTAATTATATATAGTATTGGATTTTGAGGGATTTGACGTTAAAATTTCTCTTGTGAATTTTTTTGTTTTAAAGTTTGTAACTTCGAAACTATTTGCCTAATGTAGTTGATATATTTCAGCAAATTTATACAAAATTAAATGATTTATGATGTTGTCTAACATTATAATGTCCTACAACAACTCTGTATACTTTAAAATCGTATTAGAAAATAGAAAATTAATAGTAAATTGTCTTCGCAAACTGTTCGTCTAATTGTAAATTTTAAATGGTATGTCTATTTTTTTTTTCCAACAAAAGGACAGAAAATGGGTGGAAATTGTATTATGTATAATATTAAATATATATATATATATATATATATATATTTACCAAAACAAACTCCTTTTAATATCGGACGACTTAGAAATCTCGTCTATCAAATTAATTGTCTAGAACTTAATGAAACGTTTACAACAACATAAAAACGATTCAAAACATTCGAGACAATTTAAAACTATGATTGCGGAGCATATTTATACTTTAAAACACAATATGGACTTTTCTAACCCGACTGTACTACAATTCGAACAAAATTTATTCAAACGAAGAATTATAGAAGGATTTTTTTTGACTATTTACAGCAATAAAACAATAAATAAACGGAATGAACTTAACACGCTGTGCGACACAAATCTCTTTTTATTTAGATAGTATTTTCAAATTTCTCACATATATATAATTTATATTTATATATGTATATAAATAATATATTACATACCTATTCTTCCGGCACATCACTGAAAACCCTCACAATTTTTTATCACAAATTCACAAATTATCTATAAAATTGTTTTAATATGTTTATTATTATTTTTATTATTTTATCAGAACAGATATGATTTAAATGACTTCTTCTTCTTTAGATAGAAATAATATGTCTCCATCGTAACATTTCTAATTCTGAAGACGATCGTGGTTTCCTAATTTGTTAGTCATGATAAATAAATAAGTGTGACATTTCGGACAGGTGTAACTGTAAATGATCATTATGATAATAATAATAACAATAACAATTGATTTATGTATTGTACTTTGTGAGATATATGTCGCAAAAGTTTGTCCGGAATAGTTTCCGAAACTACTGAACCAATTTTAGGTTTAATTGATTTATCATGTGCATTTATATCCAGATTAGGTTATAGGCGATATTAAAAAGCTTAGTTCATATTCGAAATATTAAGATTTTGTTAATGTTGAGTTATGTAAAAAACAGAATAGGCAACTCTTGCTGTGGCAATATTGATTGTTTTTATTGTTTTTTTTATAGTTTCTATAATTTGCTCTGTAACTTAAAAAATAGTTAGAATATTTCGTAATCCTTTGAAACTACGATCTGATTTGGGAAGGTTTTAGTATAATTATTTAAACTATATTATTAATAAATATAAATATAGATTATAAAACTATATTATTTTTCATCTAAAGTCAGAATTGTCGAAAATTAATTAATGATTGAAATTTGCGTTTAAAATTAGTTATGAAAATTTATTTAAAAGAGTCAGAAATTTTGATCACGTTTGATATGTTTTAAGTTAATAGTGTTAATTCTGATATGCAACTCGATATTTACAGTTATATATATATATATATATACAAAATATTATTCAAATTTAAATTTTGTTTAATATTTACAATGTCATTCCGGATAATCATGAATAATGCAACAATGAAAAATGTCGCCAAGTGTCACAAAATTTATTCGGTTAAAATTAGTTAAACACGATTAGATTTTGACAGAGTTTTTAAACTAAACTCTAACTACATACATGAAATATTTTTAAAAATATATAAATAAAAATATAAATGTCAAAATTGACTAAAATGATCAAGATTGAGTCAAAATTTAGTCAAAAGAGCTAAAATCGATCAAGACAGGAAAAATTGACTGCATCGAGCAAAAATTATAAACAAAATAGCAAAAATTGATAAAATAGCCAAAGTTGATAGAACCGAGCAAAGAATAATAATAAAATATGGAAACTTGATCAAAATGGCCAAAATCGAGCAAACGTTGATTAAAAGAGCAAAAATTGATGAAAATGGCCAGAAATTAAAGAAAAATTTCCAAATTTGCCTGAATTTTCTAAAATGAGCGAAAGTTTACTAAAACATCCTAAATCGACTAACATATGGTAAGTAGAAAATATTGAAAATTTAGTTTTTTCTGTATTATTTGTTTATTATAAATCTTTATTGATAATTTAATTTCCTAATACAAACTTATTTCAAAAATATTTAAACATGGTTTTCTTTTGTAACTTTTTACCCATTATTATTTTGTTTCCGATTTTTTTAACTTCCCGAAAATGAAAATGTTTGCATATCTTCACGTTTCAGAGGTTTCTGAACATTTTGGCATACCTCAGAAAACATAGATGTGTGTGTGCTGATACAAATTTTGTCGACGATTTCGAGAACATGGCTCCACCGATTTGAGTGGTTCAAAAAACCTTCGATTCGTATTGATAAGGAGACGTGCTGATTAGTTTTTGGCAAAAGCAGGTCCAGCAGTTACGGAGATAAAGAGCAAAGAGTGCAGAAAATAGAAATCGAGTTTTTGAGAGAACGGAGCATCCGATTTGAATGATCTAAATACATTCAATTAGTAATGATTGGGAGAAGTGGTTATTAGTTTTTCGCAAAGGCAGGCCGAGCCATTTCGAAGATACGGAGCTAAATTTGTAAAAAATGACAATTTTTGAGAGAACTAAGCGTCCGATTTAAATGATTCAAAGAACTTTCTGCTTGTTTTAACAAAATAATTGATTTTGGCAAAAAAAAATTATTCCAAAATTTTTTTTTTTTCAATTTTTTTTTCAACAAAAATTTTTTTGTACATCGAAAATAAGTCAGATTTTATTTTTAATTCTGACTAAAGTTCTAATATACTTTAAACAAATATTTCAACTTTGCAATTCAGTTTATATAATTCTTATAAATATTAGACAATGTTACAATATTTATAATAATCTATTTGAAAACATTCAGTATTCCTCGAACATTTCGTTACGGTACGGGAAGTTCCAGCAATTTGCCTTAAGGCACGATGCTATATACCCCACTAGTTTGGCTTAAAATTAGCAAAAATTTACCAAAACTGCCTAAATCGACTGATATTAAACATGTTAGGTAAGTACAAAAAATTATTTTTTTATTTGTATTTATTGTTCTTTATAAATATTACTAACGAATTTAATTTGGTAGTCACATAATTTAAAAAAATCATTCAGTTTAATTCATTTTTTATTAGTTTAAATTTTTTTATATTTTTGAACGATTCACATTTAGTTTTTAAACATTCAGTTTTTTTTAAATTATTTAATATTAAACTTATTGTTGAATTTCTATTCATATCATTTTGATAAACTGTTTTAAAACTCTGCCTTATGGTAATTTCCTAAACCGGCATAGAAGAAAATCGAATATTTTAAAATAATGTCAAATAATTTCAAAATATCGATCAGATCTATTTTGGATTTTGAAGTTGAATGTATATAAAAATGATTTACAGGTATATTCTGATTCTACTAGTTATTGGCACTTCAATTCAAGGATTGAAATTGACCACTGAAAAAGTTCATCTTATTGCTACTCAGGTAAGAAATAAAAAAATAAAGGTAAAAATAGAAATAGAAATTCAATTTATATATTTTTTTTATTATTTTTTCCTAAGGCGATTTTCGGAGTAGGTCTACCAGTGGTTCTCAAAGACCAGTCCGTGACAGTCGGTTCGGTGATGAAAGCAAATTATAAATTGCAATACCTGACGGACACTCCTGTGGGAAATTTATCCTATCATCAATTGTTTGATGACGATAATAGTCGTTCTGGTGATGGAATTTCCAAAAGAGATGTCGATGGTCGTGAAAATATGAGTTTGACGAGATGGCACGTCTATAGAAGTATCGAGATGCTGGTCAACAGGTAGGAGAAATAAGAACTAAATACTAATTTATACAAAATTATTAAATTAAATTATTAAAATACCATAAATAAAACCTATAGAGATCTTAAGTCGACATTAGATATATATATATATATATATATATATATATATTATAATATATATATATATAACCACAATTGTAGAATAAAATTGGACTACTTCATGTAACAGGAGTATTAATACTAAATTTTTAAGGCTGAGTATTAAATGAAGCTGATCCAGAAAATTGCCTTTAATTGATATCATTTCTATCATCATAACAAAAATGGACCAAAATGAGCAAGAATCTATTATAAATTGACTAAAATTATCAAAAACCGAATAAAATATCGCAAATCGTCTCAATTAGAAGTTAATTGACTAAAATGAGTGGAAATTCGTTAAAATAAATAAGAATGGTCCAATATGGGAAAAATCATCCAAAATGAAGAAATATAGGAATATTTAAGAAGAAAAATAGTAATATATACGAAGAAATCAACTAAAAATTTTTTTTTTTTTTTTGGTATAAAGCTCAAAAAGTGATTTCAGGATGAATGAAGAATAAATGGTCTAAAAACAGAGAAAATCGATTAAAATCAAGGAAATACTTTAAATCGTTTCAATAAGTAAAATAAATGGACTAAAATGAGTGGAAATCCACTAAACTAAACGAGAATCGTCCAAAATGGAGAAATATTGTCCAAAATGAAGAAAGATCATCCAAAATAAAGAAATAGTAGTCTAGAATTTGCAGAAATTCACTTAAAACAAAATTTGTTTTGTGTAAAACTCCGAAAATGATTTCAGGAAGAATGAAGAATTAATGGTTTAAAAACAGACAAAATTGATTAAAATCAAGGAATTATCATAAATCGTCTCAATAAGTAAATTAAATCGACTAAAATGTGTCAAAATCTACTGAAAAGAACGAGAATTGTCCAAAAAGAAGAAATATTGTCCAAAATGAAGAAATAGCAGTCTAGAATTAGAAGAAATCGACTAAAAATAAAAAAAAATATGTAAAACTTGGTAAATAAATAAAATAAATCGACTAAAATAATTGGAAATCCACCAAAATAAACGAGAATCGTCCAAAATGGAAAAAAGTTATCCAAAATGAAAGAAAATATTCAAAATGAAAAAAAATTAACCAACATGAAGAAATCATCTAGAATTAGGCAAAATCAACTAAAACAGAAGTTTTTTGTCTTATACTCAGAAAATGGACTCGGTATTTGTTTATTAGGAATAAATGATCTAAAAACAAAGAAACTAGACTAAAGCCAGTAAAGACATAGAAGATCGACTAAAATCGAAGAAATTTTGACCAAAGTGAATTAAAATCAGTGAAAATTACAAGAAATTGACTAAAATCAAGAAATTCGGAATAAAACCAAAAAATCTAAGGCAAAATCATCTTCACATTTTAGGGGTATATCGACGGAAATCGTAAAAAATCGACTAAACTTATAGAAAATTGAATACAGTCATAAAAAATTATCAAAAATCATAGTATATTGACAGAAATCAGATAAAACAGCTAAAATAAAAAAATCGACTTAAACCAGGAAAAATTCGAATAAAGTCGTGTAAAATAAACTAAAAACAGCCAAAATGTACTGATTTAAAAAAAAATTGATTACAAACGGGTTAAAATTGGTTTAAATCAGGAAAAATTAAATAGAATCATGGAAATTCACTAATATCAAGTAAATTTACTAAAATCAGGAATAATCGACTTAAATCATTGGCAATTTGACTAAAATCCACCAAAATTAGTGAAAACGGACTAAAATCCGGAAGAATCCGGCAAATGAATTATAATCAAGGAAAATTGAAAAAAGAACCTAGAAAATGAAGTTTTGTAAAGAAAAATGGCTAATTTAAAAAAATAATGTTCAAAGCTCGTTTAATATGGGCTAAAATCGGGGAAAATTAACTAAAATCACGAAAATTGATTAAAATCAAGAGAATTGCATAAAATCGACTTAAATCATTGGCAAATTTACTGAAATCATAAAAAAAAACATCAAAATTAGTGAAAACGCGCGAAAATCCGGGAAATGAAGTATAGTCAAGGGAAATTAAAAAAAGAACTTAGAAAGTGAACTTATATAAGGAAAAATGACCAATTTAAAAAATAATGTTTAAAGTCGGGTAAATGTGTACTAAAATCGGGAAAGATTATCTAAAATCACGAAAATTTACTAAAATCAAAAAATTGCAATGACTAAAATCAGAGAAAATTCACGAAAATTCATGAAAACAGGCTAAAATCCGGAAAAAATCCGATAAATGATTTATAATAAAGAAAATTGAAATAAAATCCTGTAAAATTAACATATATAAGAAAAAACGGCTAAAATCAAGGAAAATGGATGTAAATTAAAAAAAATCACTAAAATTATGAAATTTGACTAAAAAGACTAAAATAAACAGAAATCGACTAAAATTCGATTATATAAGTTAAACTAACGAAAAATAAATTAAAAACTATATTTAAAAAAATTAGGTTAGGTGAAATTATTTGAGGAAAATCATTATCGAGGAAAATCATCTGAAATCAGGGGAAATTGACTAAAATCGAGCAAAATAAATGATAATCAAGCAAAATTGACCAAAATCGAGGATGTTAGATTAATATTATATAAATCCTCCGAAATTAGATAATATATATTATCTAATTATCAAGTCCATATGGACTAAACAGAAAACAAAATGGACTCAATTAATTGATGAACTTACATTAATATTGAGGAAAAATTAAATGAAATCAGAGAAAATGGATTAAAGTATAAGTGAAAATTATAGAAAAATATAAGAAACAACAGATGAAAAATATACATACAAATATACATAAAAATAAATATATACATACATAAAATTAAGTAATTTAACAAAATCGATTAAAATAGATTTTAAATCAGAGAAAACTATAATTATATAACTATAATCGAGGAATTCAACTAAAATCTAGAAAAAGGACATAATCAAGCACAAAGGACTAAAACTAGTAAAATGGACAAAAATCAGGGAAATTAGTCTAAAATAAGATGTATAGACTAAAATAAGCTTCATGCAACTAGAACCAGAGAAAATCGACTAAAATGTGGAAAATTCGAATAAAAACAGTAGAAATCGACCAAAATCAACTACAATGACCAAACTTTGACTACAATATAAAATTGGTTAAATACAAAATTAACGAGAAATAGTATAAAAAAATATAATCGTTACTATAAGTGTGAATTCCCATGTTAAGTAAAATTAAATTAATTTAACATAATTTTTTTCTAGTTATGGTTTGCAAGGCAAAGAGTGCATGTTACGAGCAATTTGTGAAAATGCAGAAAATCCTTTCACCCACGAAAATGGACTTTTAGGCGAATTGATGCACATCATACTTACGTAAGTATAAAATCTATAAACATACCAATTAACCTAATTAATAATAATTTTGTTTATATAATATTCAAGTCCATCAACTACTAATGAAGCCGTCAACCAGCATTCGGATAATGAATACATTTCTGCAGAAAAAATCGGCAGGGAAGCTCAGAGGGATTTCGAATATGGACAAGGTAATAATATTAATTTATATATATATATATATATATATATATATATATATATATATATATAGAGTATCCCAGAACTCAACGTCAAGCCGTATAGTATTGACATGAACTATCACAAAAAAGTTGTGTGCAAAAAGCACTAACAAAAATCGTGTTATGTTTAGGTTTTTATTTTTTTACTCCAATTTTTTCATTATGGCATGCCAAGTATTTTACCATTTTACAATCCTGATTAAATGTGCAAACTCTGGATGAAACTTGACAACACACTTTAGTACATTTTTTTCAAATAAGAGCCTTTGAAAGTCGACCGATTTTGTAAATTTTGAATTCATAGTTTAACAAAAAGTCTTGATTTTTGAAAACTTGAGGCAATCGTGTCATTATTTTTGGCTGTGGTCTTAGAAATGTTATTTACAATTACGGATCCAAAGTTTGGTTGAACCAAATTATTAAAAACTAGTCACAATAACCAAAAAATTGGTAACATTTCCACCAAAGTTCTAGGTTACACTTAAAAGCTCATAAATTTCAAACTGCATGGAGTATTTTGTTAAAATATTTTTTAATGATAGTTACAATTTATTTAGGCTTGACGTTGAGTTCTGGGACACCCTGTATATATAGTATCCCAGAACTCAACGTACAGTATTGACATGAACTATCATAAAAAAGTTGTGAGCAAAATGCACTAACAAAAATCGTGTTATGTTTAGGTTTTTGTTTTTTTACTCAAAATTTTTCATTATGAGATGCCAAATATTTTACCATTTTACAATCCTGATTAAATGTGCAAACTTTTGCTGAAACTTGCCAACACACTTCAGAACCTTTTTTTAAAAGGAGAGCTTTTGAAAGTCGACCGATTCTGAAAATTTTACATTCATAGTTTAACAAAAAGTCTTGATTCTTGAAAACTTGAGGCAATCGTGTCATTATTTTTGGCTGTGGTCTTAGAAATGTTATTTACAATTACAAATCCAAAGTTTAAATGAACCAAAATAATAAAAATTAACCACAATAACCAAAAAATTGGTAACATTTCCACCAAAGCTCTAGGTTACACTTAAAAGCTCATAAATTTCAAACTGCATGGAGTATTTTGTTAAAATATTTTTTAATGATAGTTACAATTCATTTAGGCTTGATGTTGAGTTCTGGGACACCCTGTATATATATATATATATATATATATATATATATTTATGTGTTTGCAAATTGTTTTGCAGAAAGATGTTCCAGAGTTTTCCACGATTGTGCAATGCCCTTGCTGCAGATTTTTTCAAATGCCGAATATTTATGGAAAAACTCGAAAACAAGACAATATTAATACAATTTTTATAAAACAGAAAAAATATTTTTATTTATAGATAAAACGCAGAAAAATCTAATTAGAAAAATAAAAAAGTCTTTACTTTTAATATGATGAAAAACTTTATTGAGAAACTCGCCACTAAGTAAATTAATGGTTACAAATTATTAATTGCACTCTTGAATTACAGAAATAATTATAAAAAAAAATTGCTCGTTCTTTATTTTAATTAATATTTTTATATAACATTTTCCAAAGCTTTGTAATTCTTTCATATAAATATAATTGAAAACTTGCCAATAGGATATTTTAAAACATTTTTATGTGGCATATCAATTAGAAGGTCTCAAAGAATACAACACGAATCTAATACTCTTTTTAAATTTTCATAAAACAGAAAAATATTTTTATTTATAGATAAAACTAAGAAAAATCTAATTACAAAAAAACTTTATTTTTAATATGAAGAAAAACTTAAACGTTTGAAGTTACTGTGGATATTTTTATTGAAAATTTTGTGAAAATATTTTCAAATAATATTGGTAATAATTTTGTTATGTTTTTTTGAATCTTTCGTCGTGACTTCGAAATTTAAAAAGAAATTATAAATAAGTGTGACATTTTTCGAGATGTAACTGTAAAGATGGTTTGAATATGTTAATTAATATAAATATAATAATTTATTAAATTATTGTATGCTAATTTGTTTAGTGTGAACGAAGTGCATATAACGGTTCTCAAAATTTGTTTCTTAATATAAAAATAATATATTTATATATATATATATATATATATATATAAATATATATTAAAATTGCCTTCAGGAAAAAATTGCCAAAAATCTATATTTTGACAAATTTAGAATAAATTGCTGCACTCTAACTAAAATAAATGCAAAACAAATAAATAAATTAACTAAAAAGATTTATTAAATTATTTTTTATAATTGCAAAAGTTTTACATACCAAATTAGAAAAACATCTACAAAAATTTGAAATATTAAATATTTAATTTAAAATTTAATTTGAAATAATATTAATATTTTCAAACTTAAGATTCCTAATTTTTAATTCATATTTTCTAAATTTTTGTTTCCTAATTTTGTAATTTCTGATATATTTAAATTTGGAAATTTTTAATTTTCTAAAAAATTATTAGCATTCATTTTTATATTTCCAAAATTTATTTTTTCCCAATTTATACATTTATTACTTAAAAATTTGATATCCTGAATTTCAAAATCTAGAATATAAAATACAAACTTATATAGATTTTCAAAAATAGTATATAAAAAATTAATAAATAATATTTTAATATATAGAAATTATGAACTAAAATTCTAATATGTAAAACTTCAAGATTTAATATTTTAAAATTTAAAATTTCAGTATTTAGGATACAAAATTTAATTCTTCAAAATTATTAAATCTAAAATATCAAAACTAAATATTTAATATTTAAGATCTTATAATAAAAATTTATTTTCAAGCTATATTTTTAAAATCTAACAATTAATTTTAAATTTATAATTTTTGAAATTCAAATGATGAAATTAAAAACTAATAGTACTCTTTTAAAATTTCCTTATTTTACAGTTCAAAGTATTAATTCTAACATAAATCAAAAGCTTCAATTTTTTAACTCGGATTTTAAAATTTCAGTATCTAAAATTTATATCAAGATTTTGAATCTAGTATCTGAATTTTTAATTATTAAAATTTTATATTTTAAAATATCAAAATTTAATCCGAAGGCGTCGAAATTTAATACATAAGAGTACCAAAATACAAAAAAATCAAAATGTGAATAATTTCTTTATATTATTAAACAAAAATTGTTATTATTGTACTAATGAATATAATAGCTAGTATTCTACCAAATTTTACTATTATTTATTTTACTGTTGAAGAATCTTTGTCAAAATTGCAATTAATAACTCCATGCAAATTATATGTAACACCACAAGTTACATATATAAACAAACGTCTTTGTTGTAATATTTAAATAATAATAACGACAATGACAATGACAAAGTCTAAATAAATAAATTATTTATATTTTTAATTTAGTTTCATTCACAAAGTATGTTGACTCGTTTCGGTTTTTTCTTTCTATTCATATCAGGGACGAATTGTGGAAAATCGGATTTTGCGGAAAATTTTCGAAGGGATAAAAGGACTTTGGTTTTTCCTGATAAACATCCTTATACATTACAAGTAAAATAGTAAAAATAATATTCAAAAATATTATATATATATATATATATATATATATATATATATATACATATGTATTTATATTATATAAACATAAGTTTTGCACTATGAAAAATGTCTCAGTTTTTCTTTATAAGTGCAAAACTTGCGTTAAGGTTTTTGCCAAAATTCTTAAACCGATTTTGAAAATTCAAAAACTGTTCGAAAGATATCAGTTGGGACTTAGGCTGATTATTTTTTGGTAGAGATCAGGGGAGCCGTTTCTTCGCAATTAATTCTGGAACTTTATTATTCAACTGGATGGGACTTGCGTTTTTTATGCAATGAAGGAACGTTATTGTTATTGATTTTAATACAGTTAAATATAATAAATTAAATTTGTAATATTCATCAAAATTTGCACTCATACGGACCTGTCTTTATATTAAATCAAATTTAATTTAATTATTTAATTCATTAATTTTTTTAGACATCTTTCTGACATTTTTATAGAAGTCTACTTTTGGTCTTAGTCTCTTTTTTGCTCTTATAACAGATAGTAAATATATTTTATACTTATATTGATTTATTTATTCATTTATATCAAATATTATATGTTATATATTGTGTTATTTTAATATATTTTTAGTGTTTTTAAAATAAATTAAATTATTTGTGTAAAACAAAATGTTTTTATATCAATATGTGATTTTTATAGTGATTTTCTTCGTGTGCAACTGTTGCGGGAATAATATATTTGTAAATTTAAATCTTATTTATTATAATTATTATTAATCAATATTTACAATACAGGGTGTCCCAGAACTCAACGTCAAGAAAAAAGTTATAAATAAAATTTATTCCCTGCAGTTGAAAATTATGAGCTTTTAATTGCAACCTAGAGCTTTGGTGTAAATGTTACCAATTTTTGGTTATTGTGGTTAATTTTTAATAATATTATTTAATTAAACTTTGGATCCATAACCTTAAATAACATTTCTAGGACCACAGTCAAAAATAATGACACAATTGCTTCAAGTTTTCAAGAATCAAGACTTTTTGTTAACCTATAAATTTAATTTATAATGGGTCGACTTTAAGAGACTTTTATTTAAAAAAAAAATGTTCTAAAGTATGTTGGCAAGTTTCATCAAAAATTTGTGCATTTAATCAGGATTATATTTTGGTGAAATACTTGATAGTTTCATAACAAAAAATTGGAGTAAAAAAATAAAAACCTAAAAGTGACACGATTATTGTAAGTGCATTTTCACTACTTTTTAGGCTCTCTTTTAAACAAAATGCACTAAAGTGTGTACTTATTTAAATGTTTAAATGTTTAATAATGTACACACTTTAATAACTAAAAACTTGATTGTTTAAATTATAAAAAAATGTGTAAACAAGTAAAAACTTAAAAAACACGATTTTTTCTAGTGCATTTTACTCACAATCAGTTCAAACTCCTTTTTACTCCAATTTTTTGTTATAAAACTACTGAGTATTTTACCATTTTACAATCCTGTATGAATGTTCAAACTTTTGATGAAATTTTCCAAAACACTTTAGTGCATTTTTTTTTAAAGGAGGGCCTCTCAAAGTCGATCAATTTTATAAATAGAGAGCTTTTCCATAAATTTTCTTTCTTTTATTTCGCGATTGTAATAATTAAGTGGATTTAATTAAATATCAATTTAATTTTTTACAATGATGATTTTATTAGACATTAATATTTCTTGTACAGTTTTTTGTTTATGTATATAAAATCATGATACACTTAATATAAACTGGAGCTAATTTGCTCCAATAAATTTGGAATTCACAATTCAACAAAAAGTCTTAATTCTTGAAAACTTGGGACGAATGCGTTATTATTTTTATTGTATTTCTAGAAATGTTATTCGCGGTTACTATTCCAAAATTTGAATGAACAAAATTAGTGAAAATTAACCACAATAGCCAAAAATTTGGTCACACTTTTACCAAAGCTCTATGTTGCACTTGAAAGCTCGTAATTTACAACCAACGTTCGATAATTTCATTTTTAGATTTTTTACATGCCACTTACGGTTAATCACCCCGGTTTTACGTTGAGTTCTGGGTCACCCTGTAATTATACCTAGTAAACCACAAAACATAATCAAAACGTTAAAATTACGTAACAAATGTTACGTCAAACATAGCGGTTACGTAACCTAGAAGATAGAATACGTAACACAGACGTCTCTATTTTCGCCTCAAAAACGTAAATGTTACGTAACCTGATAACGTTATTGTTCTTTTTTAGGCTATTTTCGGCGTTGGTGTTCCAGTAGTCCTAGAAGACCAATCTGTAACCGTCGGTTCAGTTTTTAAATGCCAATACAATTTAAATTACGACAGATCTACTCCAGTAGGAAATTTATCATATGTCGAATTATTTGAAAGTGATAAATCTAGATCGGCATCAAAAGAAGAAGAAAAATCCAAATCGTCATCGGACGATGATAAATCTAGATCAACATCTGAAGATGATAATGATAAACCATTATCAGATGACGATAAATCTATATCGGAAGATGGTGAGTCTGAATTATCTTCAGAAGACAATGGAATTTCCAAAAGAGATGTAAGTTCTATGAACGATGGTGAAAGATTTTCTGGAATGACCAGATGGTATGTTTATCGAGGAGTTGAAGCTCTTGTAGATAGGTAAGACCTGGTTATGATTTTATTAGATTATATTATATATATATATATATATATATATATATATATGTAATATTTTTGCAGCCCAATCGTCGAATTAAAAAAAAGAATAAATAACAAAATTATTTATTCCAT